GCGCCCGCCCGCCCCGCCCCTCCTCCTCCCCCTCCTCCTCCTCCTCCTCCTCCTCCTCCTCCTCCTCTTCCAGCCTCCTCCTCCTCCTCCTCCTCCTCCTCCTCCTCCTCCTCCTCCTTCAGCGTCCTCCTCCCACTCCAGCCTCCTCCTCCTCCTCCTCCTCCTCGCCTTCTTCGCAACCACTGTTGCTCAAGCGGGTGTTGCTGCATGGCCCCCTGTCGTGTGCTTTTGCCCTCCCGATGTCGTCGCGTCCGGATGTGCGCGAGCTGGTCTCGCCACTGCGCGGACGGCTTCTGCATGGCCTGGCGCATCGCAGTGGTACCTTTTTTTCCAAGGCTTGTCAGCGGCAACGCGTGCTTCGGAAAGCCTGTCTCCCTAATCACGTGACAATGCAGGGAGTTCAACAAAAACTAGGTCGGTATGCCCGGGCTCAGCCTCGCGGACCTCTTCTGAAGCCATATTTAAAACAAACCCTTGTTTTGTGCCACGCCCTGCCGTCATCGCTCAAATTATACTCGAAAACCTAATTTCAAAAATTGTCACGGCGACCTTCCTCCAGATATTCCTCTGGATTTTTTCCGGATCTTCACAGGTCATTAAATCTTCACGTAAATCTTCGCCCAGGCCCGAAAATCTTCACCCAGGGCTCTAATTTTTTCCTCCAGGGCCCGAAATCTTCACTTAATTCTTCACCCCGGGCCCTAAATCTTCACAGAAAGCTGCGCCCAGTGTCGTAAATCTTCGCCTAAACCTTCACCCGGGACCCTGAATCTTCACCTAAATCTCCACCCAGGGCCGCAAAATTTCACCCAGGCCTGAAATCTTCGCGTACATTTTCCTCCAGTGTACTAAATCTTCACCCAGGGGCCTAAATCTTCACCCTGGCCTTAAATCTTCATCCAAAGATTCGCCCAGGCTCTTAAATCTTCACCCAGGGCATTCAATCTCCATTTAAATCTTCTTCCAAGCGCGTAAATCTTCAGCCAGGGCTTTAAATCTTCACCCAGAGCCCGAAATCTTCACCGAAATCTTTGCCCAGGGCTTTAAATCTTCACGTTAATCTTCACCCAGGGCCGTAGATCTTCACCTAACTCTTTACCCAGGACCCTGAATCTTCACCAAAATCTTCGCCCATGGCCGCAAGACTTCACCCAGGCCTTATATCTTCACCTAAATCTTCAACCTGCGCCCTAAATCTTCATTAACATTTTCGCGCAGGGCCGTAAATCTTTATCCATGCCTTAAATCTTAATGTAAATATTCACACGGGCTCTTAAATCTTTCCCGTGGGCATTGAATATTAGTTTAAATCTTCACCCAGGCCTGTAAATCTTCACCCAGGGCTCTAAATCTTCACCCAGAGCCCGAAATCTTCATTGAAATCTTCACCGAGAGCCCTACATCTTCACCTAAATCTTCACGCAGGGCCAGCTTAAATCTTCATTTGGATCTTCACGAAAATCTTCACCCCGCAGCCCCCTCCAGCCTAAATCTTCATGTAAATCTTCCCGCATCTTCACCCCAGAGGCCCGCCAGCCTGAATCTTCATTTTTTTTTTCGCGTGCATCTTCACCCCGGAGCCCCGCCAGCCCAAATCTTCATTTAAATCTCTCCTCAATTCTTCACCCAGAGCCCCATCGTCACCCCCGGCAACCCCCCCCCCCCCAGCACGACCCCTCGAACAAACCCCCCAGCGTCCCCCCCCAAAAAGATGCCACCCTAAAAATGCGTTTTTAAATATTTATTTGGGGTGTCCACTTAGAATTGCATTTGAGGCTTCACGCGGATTGGCGCAGATTTCACCATGAAAAACCTTGTCTTGTTTAGTGCCGCGTCATTGGGCCTTTTTTTTTATCATAGTTTTGTGGCTCGCCCCGGCGCGGCGCTCCAAACTCTACGCGGCAACCCAGATTTTTCATTGTTTATAAAAAACTCTTTGTTTTCAAACTCCCTGTATTATGAAGATCGATTTCGCCTACCGCTTCTGCGAACACATCACGCAGCAGAGTATGTCATATTTCATTGATGGTGTTTCTGGTAAGGAGTATCGCGCTGGACCTGATTATGTTGTCGTCCCTCGCTATAGCCCTGGTCTTCAAGATGGCGAATCGGACCTCGCGGCCACTTCTTTTACGTATCCCGCAGCACCCTATTCTGCATGAGGGGCCCCCTGCTCCTGCACAGCCAGCTTCGTGTCAGGCCGTATGGTCTGTGCCTCAGGTTCTGGCGGCTGCTCAAACGGTGAATGATTCGCAACTTCTCTCAACTTTGCTTGGGTCTCAGAATATCACGACTGCTAAGCTCAAAAGAGTGTTGGACACACTCGCTGATGTTCCAGCATTGTTGCCCACACCGTCGGGTGCCTTGTTTTCAGGGTCTTCGGAGGACGCGTCGTGGGAAAATGGAGACAAGGCCTTCCGACATCGCGAGCTGGAGGAGCGGGTGGACTCGCTGCTTACTTTTGTTTCTGCTTGTGCGCTTGCAAGCGTTTCGGCGAGTATGCGTGGCATGGTGCCTGTTATTCTCGCTCGCAGTGTTGGCCCTAGCGTGCAATCTGCGTTGGCCTCAAGTACCTGACCTCTGTTTTCAAGCCTTGGTGCGAAGATGGCAGCGATGGTGGGTGAGGCTTTGCGCGCTTGCCATGCTGCTGGCGACGCTGTGAGACGAACTGTCGATTCTCTTGATGGGCGTACGTGTAAAGTTGAGTGCCTGTTTTCTGCTACGGTAGGTTCGCGTCGTGTTGACCGGCGGCGACCCCAGCGCGGGCGTTCAACGTTGAACGCCGCCGGCGACCCAGAATCGGTCGATGTTGAACGATTGGACGTTGCGGAAATGGCCGATCGTTCAAGGTTGAACGATCCAGCGCGGTGTCAGGAACCAACGCCTGGGTCGACACGACACGAACCTGCCGTATGCGGATTCCTTCCGCTGAACATGGTATTCGCGGGCGCTCTCTTGGTATTCAGTTTGCTGCTGGCTCGGGTGCCGCTGCCCCGCCGTCCACGGCCCCGTCGTCCGGTGTCGGGAGGCGGGCGTGCAGGTGCGGGAGGAGCTGCCGCCGCACAGGTTGTCTCTCTGCGCATCCTGGTGGCCAGGACGTCACCGACCAGGCCGGGGAGGACGCAAGCGAATGTGACACAAGATGGCGACCGTTCCCTTTCATCGCATGGCCCACGTAGGCTGGAGCCGAAGAGCGCTCCTTCTGACCATGGCAAGTTTGACGACAGCATCGGCGAATTGTTGACGACTGCCTGACGCTCCAGTCTGGCTGGATGTCGCCTGAGTGGCTACTCGACGGGAACGATCGTCCGCCCCTTCCTGGTGTGGATTGACGAGTGTCTGATGGTCCATCTCACATGCATCCTCCGTGTTCTTCGAAGGGGCCTCCGTCGAGGGCTTCTGTGTCTACATCTTCAGGCCGGCATTGTCATCGCGTACGTCTCCGATCAACCTCGCCGGGCCCCTATTCTGGTGCTTCGTCTCTTCTTTCTTAGTCTTCACGTTGGCTGCAGTTGTGCAGGGAAGCAACGATATTCTTAGTCTCCTGGTCCATCCCTCTCAACTAGATGTTCGGCGCTGCTTCAATTCTTCTGAGCGGTGGGCGTGTGCGGAGCTCCTCTTCTTCGGCTTTCACCTCCCCGTACTTATGGTGCTTCGCTTTCTCTCATGTCCGGTATTGTGGGATGCGGATTCGCCGTGGGATATCGAATCGAACTCGCTTTTCGGCCCCGTTCCTCCTCCTCCTCCTCCTCCTCCTCCTCCTCCTCCTCCTCCTCCTCCTCCTCCTCCTCCTCCTCCTCCCCCTTTCAGCCTCCTTCTCCTCCTTCTGCTCCCCCTTCTTATTCCCCCTCCTCTCTCCCTTCTCCCTCGAACTCGTTTCTTTATTGCTTGGGGCATGTCGGGCGTCATGACCCCCGCTCCCCCCCCCCTTTGACGTAACGCTCCCCCCCCAGTGCGCTCCGGGCACTGCCGCCGTGCGTTTTGGGATCCGCGTAGGTGTCCGCGAACGAATTCGCATAGGAGTCTGGTCCGCAGTCGTCGTCGTCGTCATCGTCGTCGTCGTCGTCGTCGTCGTCGTCGTCGTCGCTCGTGGCTTGTCGCTCGTCGCTCATAGTCGTCGTGCGCGCGGACGCGGCTGAAAGCTGTTCTTTATGGGGGAGGGGTGGAGGGGTCAATGTCGTCACGTTTCGCGCCGGCGGCGTCTGGGAACACTGGGAATGCTTAGGAATGACGGAGGACGGGTAGCGCCAGCATGTAGGTGGCGATTTGCACCACAACGCCTGTGTATACCACAGTGCCTGCGTGCACCACAGCGCTTGTGTACACCACACCGCCTATCTACACCACAGCAGCCGCGTGCAACACAGCGTCGGTTTGTGCCACCGTGCCTGCGGGCACAACAGTTCTCGTGCACACCACAGCGCTTGCGTACAAATCAGCCGTGTGCAACACAGCACCAGTGTACACCACAATGCCTTCGTGCATTGCAGTGCCTGTGTGTACCACGGCGCCTGTGTGCACCACAGCAACCGCGTGCAACACAACACCACTGTTGTATATATAATGTTTTAACACATCCTTATGACAAAATGGAGCGCTTGTGGATTCCACAGAAAGCAATCGAACATAACCCTGATTGAAAACGGAGCGCCGCTGGAATCTACGAGTCCTCCCGAGTCCGCCCGCATCACCCTAACTCCTCCCATCTGCGTCCAGGAGGCTCCAGCTAAATTGGCCGTCCGAGAACCACGTGGACTGATTCAATAGACCATTCTGCGGTGCGCGCTGAGATGCGCACGTGCGTGCGCTGTAGCGCCGACCCGCACGACAGGGAGTAACGAGGAAGAGGAGGAGGACGAGGAGGAGGAGGAGGAGGAGGAGAAGGAGGAGGGGGAGGAAGAGGAGGAGGAGGAGGAGGAGGAGGAGGAGGACGAGGAGAAGGAGGAAGTGGAGGTGGAGGGGGAGGAGGGAAGAGGGAAGAACGTCGCATTCGAATGGCG